CCCGCTCCTACCCACCGCCGCCGCCGCCTGAGGTCAGGGTCTGGGACCGGCGCGACCGCCGAGCCGAGCCGCCAGCCCGGAACCCCGCCCCACTCCACTCCGCTCCGCTCCGCTCTCAGCCCCTGCGGCTCCGCAGGGGGTGGCGGGGGCCGCCCGCAGCAGGCGGCCCGGCGCATTGTGGGGCTTGTCGTTTGCGCCGGCGGCCCCTCTGCGCCGCGCGGTGAGCCGGGGGCTGTAGTTCTGGGGCGGGAGCCGGGCGGAAGCCATCGGGGTCCTTCCTCAGTCGCCGCTTGATTACACGCGGGGCTGTCGCCCGTCGGCCTCGGGCGGCGGCGGGGAGGAGGAGCGCCGGAGGAAGCGCGGGGCGGGTAAGAGGTGCTCGGCGCCGATTCGGGGTGGCTCTGTCGCCTCAGGGGCAATTTAGCGAGCTCCCCCCTCTCTGTCCCCTCGCGTTAACCCCTTCAGGGCCGCGCCCCCCCTCCCCTCTCCCTCGGGGCCGTTCCCCGCCGAGCCGCGGCACCAGCCAGGCTCTGCTGGGGCGCCCGCTGTGCTTGGCGCAGGCTGCCGAGGTACGGCGGGCCGCGGTGGGCATCCGGCGGCTTCCATGCGGTTGGTGGCGTGGGAGGAGGGCGTCTGAGGGTGAGGCGGCGTCCTGGGCCGGCCGGCCTTGCGGCGCCGGGGAAGCTGTGCTGTCCCGTGCAGCGTGCCCTCCGGGGAGGGGAGGCAAATAAAGAACTCCTCTTCCTTTCTGGTGTTGCAGCTGACAGAACTGTTTTCGCGGTGGTAATGTAGATAGAAGCCGTGTTAAGCTTTACCCGTCCAATAAATGTGCTTAGGTTGCAGTCGGGTGCTAGACTCTGGCTGCGAATGGTGGCTGCGACTGCAGGCGTGGTGGCTGCTGTGACCTTCAGCGTGCGCCAGAGTCCCTTCCTGCGCTGGCAGTACCCACAATGGTATGGGCTCTCCTTGGACGTTTCTCTCACCGCTCTTAGAAGGCAAAGCTTGATGACGTTCTAGTTGTGGCCCTGCTTACGCGTGGGTTTGAGGGCAAGGAGATTTTGGTTTCTATCCGGTTTTTAATCGCATTGTTACATTCTGATTAGCTGATTGAACTGTAGTATCTGTCAGTAAATGTCTTTTATTCTGTCAGCCATCCTAGTGCAAAAGTGCTATGTGGAGTTGCATCTTTGTGGTTTTATTTTTTTAATGCAATCTTCCACTGTAGGCTGTTGCATACGTGCTTTTTTTTTTGGTCACATTTCAGAGTTACTGGTGACTGATTGTGAGAGTCTGATGCAGGTACTTAACATACTAGTAAATAACTTTTCACACATTACAAGGCAACATAGTCAATTTTAGGTTTGCTTTCAGATACTTGTTATCTTTCAAAAGACGTGTTTCTGAGTAAAAGTAGGTAGACTTCTTTTTAATGACAGTTTAGCACTGAAGCTAAATTGGAAAAAAAAATCAATTTCCAATATCTGAAATTCGCCAACTCTCTAGTGATGGTGTCATCTATTAGAACTGTATCTATTTATCAAATTTCTGTTATGAGTATCTGAAAATATGACTTAAAAAGTAGAGTGGAAAATGACAGACTTTTCTGACAGTGGTTTGCCTGTAATAGAGGGCTTGCTGGGATGAATATTGTGCAGTAGGAGGGCTGTCTTTCAGGAAGGAAAAACGTGATTCATTGATTAGTTTTCCAAGACGACACAAAAATAGCATTTTCACGGAGATTGTTACAAAAGAGATGACAGATCCTTTTATCTGGTTAGATTGCTAGTGATACGCTTGTGACTGAGTCATATAGATCAGTCTGGTTTATTCTAATAAATACAGAATTGTAACTGTTAAAATGCTGAGCACTGGCTGGGGTATATAATAAGAAACTTAAACCACTTCCTTGAGTGAATTCAGCTATGCATCAACTGAAAGAATTAGTGATTTCAGGTAACTTAAATGTTATTTAAGTTCACTTCAAGTATACTTTATAGAGAACAAGCTTCAATTTTAAAAGAAGCCTCTAACAACTTTTATAGTGAAATATTAGTACAGCACTTGCCTCAAGAGCATGTATCACATTTTTGTACTCTCTAAGCAACAGATACTGGATTCATGACAGTTCCTTTTTTCTCTGAAAAAGAGATTGTTTCCCCTGCGATCATAACATTACTACATGTATACGTTATTTCTTGCAGGTAGACTTTTTTCTTCTGAAAGAAGAAAACCTGTAAGAAATAATGTGTACACATAGTAATGTTATGATTGTGCATTTATGGAAAATAATTAGGAATTGATAAAACTTGATATGGGTATTTCATGGAGGTAGCATTCATAGTTTCAGATGAAATTAGACTTCAGTTAAGTATATGCTATTTTTACACTGTGTGCTAAGGGTGGTATAGACAGTCTCTAAGCATGTAGGACTTAAAAAAAATAATCTTACTATCAAACTGTAGTATTCAACAGTATACATGTATACAAATATATAAAGCATATATACATGTACTTAACAGGTAGTTTTTCTACTTATGGAGAATACGGATTATTACAAATGACTGAAAAGGAGAAACAGTGAGTCTGTCTTGGCATAACTCTGGATGAGAAGGATGAGGGAACTGTTGTGGCCAGCTTCATGACCTCAATGATATTCATCATCCTCTAAGAGGTTTTCTCCAGCTTCCCCGCTGAGTCCTTATCCCCATCCCAAATTAAAAACCATCCAGGAGATGTGGGTGGTTTGGTTTTGTTTCGTTTTCTTACGGTTCCTTTTTTATACCGTATTATTTATAGTTGAAGGTCTGTTGCAGGTTTGCTTATGATTATTATTACTATTAGAATTGTGTTGGCGTATTCTTTTAAATGTTTTTTTTTTTTCTTTACATGAGAGAAACGCAAGCACTAAGTAGGTTTCTGTAGGGATAGTAATGGCTGAAAAGAACAGGTGTTAGGCATGGAGGAAGTGTTAAATGTGATAGACAAAGTTCATGTTGACATAGATTTGTTTTTCAGTATATAGTCCTTTGTCCTTCATTTCATACTATATAGCGTTGAAGGATTTGGCCTCTGCCCCTGAGCACTAGTCCAGGGAATGTTTTGGCAGCAATTCAGTGTGGTCATGTTTGCTATAAGAACTGTTTCATTAACCTTGAAATGCAAAATATGTTTATTGTTATTAGTTGGCTTGATGCCATTCCAATTTTAGTAATGGAAAAAGTACTCTGTTAATGACTTGATACAATGTTTTTTTTAATTGCATATTTACATAGCAGTAAATTCAGCATCCCAGAATAATTGACTCATTCAGTTGGCTTTCTTTTGGAAAATGGATGTTGCCTTTTCTCTTAATCAAGTTAGAATCTTCTTTGTTGTTGAAATTTTGTTTGTGTTAATTGTGGCCTGATGTCTTGCATCCTGTAATTGTACAGAGGAGCAGATCTAGTTTAGTCTTTCCAAGTGCTTGTGAGGAGTCAACTGCTCTCAACAAATGGAAAACAGCAGGAATAACAGGATATTTATGTTTGAGTTTGGATGGTTGTCAAAAAGATGCCAATATTTTGGATATGTTTTTAACTTTATGCACAAAGAAATGAACCCATTTGTTCGTCTACAGTTTCCAGCAACTGATAAACCTGTAAAACTCATAAAAAAAAACTCATAAACTTGTAAAAGCAATTCATCTCACCTTTCTGATAATTCAAATTTGAATTAGAGTTCTCTAGTGCTAGAATGTCTTCAGAATTACATTCTGAAATAAGATTGAATTGTTCAAAGCAGTAGTTATAAAGAGAAGACAATTTTAAATATTTTATAGCTATTTCAACTTTTCAAAGGCTTTACTCAATATTGCTTTTGCAAGTTAATCTTGACTGACATCTTGCAACTCATTGAAGGAAAAACTAATAAAATCTCCGATCATGTGGTCAGGAGAGCTCATTTTGTCTCTTTGCTACGAAGATCAAATAATGTGTTGAAATATCAGTGTTTTAATGAAATATGTGATTCCTATTCTTCTAGTTTTTCTTTTTTTAACCTATACGTTATGACATCTTAACCATTTAGTAGACAGTTGATGTGTATTTCTCGTAATGCTTTTAACATGTTTTTCTAGCCTGTCTTATTTTTTTGTTGGCTATGCTTTAATTTTTGTAGTTTTCATTGGGAGTTTTGTCATGTCTTTTTATAACATTGGTGAACACTAAGACTGTTGTTGTTTGGCTCATAAGTGATAGTCCTCCAC